TCGATCCATCTTGTCAAGGGACTTCCTCATTTTCTCTGCCCCTCTGCTTTACTGAGCATGACGTCCTTCTCCAGGGACCGGTCTCTCGTGACAACATGTGCAAAGCATGTGAGACATAGTCTTGCCATCCTTGCCTTTGAAGAGCATGCTGGCCGTACTTCTTCCAAGACAGATCTGTTGGTTCTTTTGTCGGTCCATGGCACTTTCAATATGGTTCACTAGCATGATAATTCAAATGCATTCCTTCCTCATCATTAATGTCCAACTGTCACATGCATATGAGGCGATGGAAAATACCACGGCTTGGGTCAGATGCACCTTAGTTCTCAAAGTAACCTCCTTGCTTTTCAACAGTTTAAAGAGGCCGTATGCAAAAGACTTAAATGATCCTTAGCAATAACTCATTGACAGTGAGTCAGTCGGACTGTCCTTCTGGGTCTCTAGGTCCTGACACTCTGTATGGTAATAGAAAGCCTCACCTTTTCCCCGCTTAGCAGTTGTTGGTTTACGAATTGCTGGGTCAGACAATGTTTTCGTTCCCAATCGTTTGAGGAAGTGCCCTACTGCTTTCCACAGTGATTGCACTGTTTTTCAGTCTTTCCAGCAGAATATAAATATTCCAGTTTTTCCAAACCCCTCCCTGATATATGAAGGGGCTTCAAAAAGTTTGTGGAAATACAGAACAGAGAGATAGTGGAATTTTTCCATGAACATTCTGAAATCCTTTAATATTTCATATGCATCAGTATTACATTCAAAGGCACCTATTCTTTGGTCTTCCTTATTCATTGTCCAGCCTTGCATGCATATCAGACAATTGATAAATTATTATTAATTTCATATCTTACACCAACCTCGGCCTCCCTTCCCCTGAGGTTTTTCCCACCCTCCTCTCCTCACCTTCCCCCCAACTCTCCTGGTATTGCTGCTCCCATTTCTGTTCCTGAGGGGTTATCTGACCTGGATTCCGTGTGTCCTGAGCTCTTATCTGTACCTGTGTACATGCTCCAGTCTAGCCCACAGTGAAAGGCAGGATTGGGGTCATGATAGTAGGGGGTGAGAAAGCCTCAAGGAACTGGAGGCATACTGTGTGTTTCTTCGGTGCTGTACTGCACCCTGCTTGACTCATGCCTTCCTTGCGACCCTTCTGTGAGGGGATGTCCCATTGTCTACAGATGGGATTTGGGTCTCTGCTCTTACCCCCTTCATTCTCAAAAATGCTTTTTTGTTTGCCTGTTTGGGATCTTCTGATGCCTGTTACCTGATCCCATCAACACCTCATGATCTCACAGGCTGGTGTGCTTCTTCCATGTGGATTTCTTGCTTTTCTGCCAGATGGCCACTTTTTAATTTCAAGCCTTTAAACCCTAGATGCTTTATCTTTTGATGGCTGGGCACCATCAGCTTTCTTCACCAGCCTATCAGACAATTGAAAATATCATGGCTTGGGTCAAGTGCACCACAATCTTCAAAGTGACATCTTCGCTTCTTATTGAACCCTAATGGTTGGGTTTGTACATACCCTAAAAGTGCGGGGAATCTGGTTCTTATATTGCGTCTTTATCTAATTCAGACACTAGAAGCCATGTCTTTATAATCAGGCTACAATTTCTCCATGAGTTAATACCTGGGTTTGAGAGGTCTGATAGACACTAGGATTTTTTTTAATGATGGCATTGTGTGTGTGATAAAGAGTGCCTCTGCTCTCTTTATGGGAGTAGAAAACGTCATTTTTCTCCCAGAGTGACATGTAGTTTTAAACTGATGACCTTATGGTGAGCAGCCCAACTCCTATTGCGCCCCCCCCCCCTCGGGGCTCTTAATGATTAGGGAGCTGTAAATAAACATCATAATGAGATACTCAATCACACTCACTGGGATGACTAGAATCAAAGACAATCACAGGCATTGATGATGAGGGCCTGTAGAAACTAGAGCTCTTGTGTATTGCTAGCAGGAGCATCAAATCACATGTAGTGTGGAGAACCCAGAGGCAGTTCTTGAAGGGTTAGATATAGAATTACCACGAGGCAGCACTTCTAGGAATAAAGATGCATCAAAAAGAACTAAAAGCAGGGACACATACTTGCCCATTGGTGTTTGTAGCAATACTATTCATGATAACCCAAAGGGAGAGACAGTGCAGACAATCATCAACTGATGGAAAAACATGTGGCTTTTCTACATGATGGACAACCATTCACCTATAAGGGGAAATAAAGTTCTGATATGTGAGGGGGTGACCGTTCCAAAACAGAATTGTGCTGGGCAGAGCAGTGCTTTCATAGTATGCTTTTTTCTTTTCTTGTTAGACAAGCATTGAGTAATTCACTCTGAGTTAGTGCACCCAGTGGCAGCGCCTGGGAAGGTTCTGGTCACAGTGAATTTTTTCATAAAAGCAGTTTTGCTCGAACCTTGTTTTTTGTGATGGCAAATTAAAAAGAACAGCTTGCGGCTGTGAAATTTTGTTTCCTGCTCAGGGAAAAATGCCACAGAAACGTTTGTGACATTGAACACAGCTTACAAGGGCAGTGCTATGGGAAAAACTCAGGTGTACGAGTAGTTTTCTCATTTCAAAAAAGGTGAGATGTCAATTGATGACAAACCTCGTTCTGGACATCTGTCAACTTTCCAAATGGACAGAAGCGTCGACTTGTAGTGCTGTTGGAGTTCGTTCCACCAGGTCAGACTATTAATTAATTAATTAATTAATTAATCTAGTTAGAATTTCGGAAAAGATAGCGCAACAGGGTGCAACAAGAGGCCCGATTTGTGGCAGACAGCGGACTGGTTTTGCCATCACAATGCGCCTCATGCAGCCATCTCAGTACATCAGTTTTTGGCAAAACACAGCATGCCTCTCTTGCCCCACACATCTTACTCACCTCTTGCTCCATGTGACTTTTTGTTTTGAGAATGGAGGGACATGAAAGGACAGTGATGTGACAACGTAGAAGAGGTAAGGAAAAAAAAAAGGGGGGGTGGTGGTGCTGTCAGCATGCAAACAGCTGAGTTTGAAAAATGTTTCCAAGAATGGAATCGCATATTTGACAAATGTATAATGTAATGGAGAGTACTTTGAAGGTGATAAGGCGATTTTGTTAAAAAAAAAAAAAGAAGTGTATTTTGGGGTACCACCTCATATAAAGGGAGAGCTCCTGGTGGAGATCCTCCAAAATCCAAACAGGAAGAGCAATGCCACCTAAAATGCTGGGAAAGGAACCGATACCATTTGATGGAGTTCCCAGCATGCAAAACATACCTTCTTGTTTTTTTATCATTTATTTCTCAGAACACTGCACGAAGATCGACATTAGTACCATTTTACAGAAAACTGGGATTTGTCCAAAGTCACACATAGGTAGCAGTCAGATCTGACCTGGTCTGACTCAAATTTGATTGCTCATCTTCTTAGCCATTATACTCTGCCTCCAGGTGATAGTTCAGCTATACTGTGGCACTGTTCCAATAGGGCAGCCACAGTGAAGTTAGGGCCACTGAGAACTGGAAATAAGTCTGGTCTGAATTGAGGTGTTCTCTAAAACATACTGTATTTTGAAGGCAAAGCCAAAAAAATTTTTTTTTTACATAAACTATCGATTTTCTTACGCTTATCATATAGTGAAATAATATTTTGGCTTAAATAATGTATATTATTCAAACAAATTCTGGGTTTTTGTCTTAATGAGGCTAAGAGAAAACATGTAAAATTACATATGGCTCACTCACATGATTATTTCTGGTTAGCATCGACAGGTGAAGAAGACCATTCTTCCTAAGTTCCCAGCAGTCAAAGTTTGGGGAGTGGGTTTCAGAGGGAAGCTTCTGGTGATTTCAAACACCAATGGAGTCCATGAGTAGTGCAGATGGTTCACACACTCAGCCAATGATAACCAAAATGTCTGAGGTTCAAGTTCACGCAGACGCACTTCAATAACAAGCCCTGGACAGCCACATCTGCAAACTCAGCTGTGGCACCCTCTGGAGGACTCCTCCTACACTCCCGTGCGGGGATGCTTAGAATTGAAATCAATTTGGCAATTGGTTCAAAACATCAATAGGTGCAGTCAATCCTCCTCTTTTGGGTGAAATAGAGATATTGATACTCTGAAGCCAAGGAGTCACAAGTCAATCACTGTAGCTCTCTCAAGATGGTTTACTAAGTCACTATACTGGCTCAGTTCATGCATAATCTTCAACCTGAGGTGATTCCGTTTTGTTCTAATTAAAAGACACACGAATTCGATCAAAGAACATCAGTCTTTATTAGTGTGTGCGATTGGGCTACATGGGCTGACATTTAAAATATTTCCCTGAAGACGAGGGCAAGTTTGTTTCATTCCCCTAGGGTGTTAGCCCTGGTACCAAGAAGTTGGAAACCACAGGGCTACGTAGTCGATGAAACTGCTAGAGACTGAGAAAACATTAAAATATCCACTGGGTAAGCAAATATATGCTAGGGATCCAAGGTAATGGGCTCAAGCATAGGGACAGCTGTCAGGATGGCACAGGACCAACAGTGCTCCCTTCTGTAGTGTGCAGAGTTGCTAGGGGCTGGGACCGACTCAAAGGCACCTAAGAACAGCAGCACGGATCAAAAGGAGGACCCCTGGTGGTGCAGGGAGTTATACGTTGAGCTGCTCTGCAGAAGATGAAGCTCTCTACTTCCATAAAGAGTCAGTCTTGGAAGCCCACAGGGGCAGTTCTATTCTATCCTTGAAAGGTCATTATAAGTAGGAATAAACTCAACGGCAGTAAGTTAGGTTTTTGAGGTTATTTTGGATCCAAGGAAGGTACGCACTGGTAAGAGAATTCATGCCTTTTTGTTGTTGTTCAATATGACTACTTTTTCTTCAAACTTAATGCTTTGAAAGCAAATCAAAAAGCCTTAGGTACACTGTGCTTGAATTATTCACCGAGCTGCTAACCAGAAGATCAGCAGTTCAAAACCACCAGCTGCTCTCCTAGAGAAAGATGAGCCTTACTACTCCCATAGATTTAGTTTCAGAAACCCACAGGGGCAGTTCTCTGTGCTACAGGGTCTCTATGAGTTGGAAATTGACTCAATGGCAGTGCTACTGCTTTTGTATGGTTTGTATGACCCAGGAAAACCAATCTTTCCTAAAAAGCAAGGGAGCAAAACACAAGCAGTACTCTGGTTGGTGCTCCAAGGGCTAATGCACTCGAGCTGTCAACAGAAAGGGTAGCGCTACACTGGGAAGAAGGCTTGGTGATCCACTTCCCCAAAGAGCAGCTCTCAGAAACCTAAGGGGTGCAGGTCTATGAACAAACCTGGAGTTACCAGGAGTCGGAGTTGACTTTATGGTAAACGGTTAGGTTAGGTTGCCAAGAGTGAGGTAGAGGCATCCACAGGAATGTGTGAATGGTGGCAGGTGGGTATTGGGCAACACTCAATGGTTAAGAAACAGTTGGGATCAAATACCTCCCTAGGGGCTTTCTGGCAAATGGTCTATGCTCTAAAAGACAAAGCTGCCTCTAGGGATTTTGAACTTTCTTCTAACTTGTAAATCCAATCATTCATGTTAAACTTACTGGTGTCAAATGAAAGCACAGTCAGCACTGCGCCAGTGGATTTTAGAGCTCTCATTAAAAGCAGAGGGACCGCATCCATAAAAAATGGAATACTCACTGAGGGAAAAATGTAATAGGGATTTCGCTGGAATATAAAAATACATGCCAGTATACCAAATACCAAAGATCCCAGATATGAGAGATTTAAAATACCTTTTTCTTGCATCAGCACCAAAAATATCACTTTTTTCCCCTGTATAAACGGTTGTGTTTAAATATAGGTAAGTTAAAGTTGTTTCTGATAAAAAAACCCACAAATGCCATAGAAATCATTAGCGATATAGCCAAACAACCTCCAAATACCCCTCTCACTCTCCGCTTTTCAAATACCTTCTGACATCAAGGGCAGGCAATTCACTTGGAAGGGCATTGGAATGAGTACCAGTGAATTCTTGGTGCCACACTTGGGATGTCAATCTCGCATTACACATTTGAATATTGTACATCTCACAGGGAGGCACTGGGATCTAGAGACTTGCGGAAATGCCTACAAGTGTTAACTCTGAGGCTGGGAGTTTGTGCAGCCATCCACAATTTCAAAGAGGTAGTGGTAGGTACTGGTCCTCCTGGCGATCTCAAATGCAGTTTCATCCAAGTTGTTTCTCAGACTGGGTTTGATGTAACGGTTCATCAGGAGGAGCTCCAGAGTGTCTTTGCTGTCTCTGTTCCCAGCAGCAAAATGTAAGGGGGTCAAGCGACCCTTTGTCTGCGCATTGATGTCGGCGTCGTGCTGGAGCAAGAGAGAAGCCACACTGGTGTTATTCCACTTACAGGCACTGTGCAGCGGCGTCCAGCCATCCACAGTCACTGCATGCACGTCTGCCCCTTGTGCGATCAGCTCTCGGACAATGTCCAAGTGCCCGCCGTACGCTGCTCGGTGCAGGGGGGTATACTCATCTTCATCCCTCGTGTTCACGTGCGTGGCATTTTCGGAAAGGAGCCGCTGCACTGTAGTTAGCTGAGGAGAGAAAGAACAACTTAAAAAACAAACAAACCTCCACTTCAACCAAAACAAGCAGCTAGCTAATGCTATCTAGTGTTAACGTCACACGACTAACTTAAATGAAAAGCTACTTGTTAGAAGATGACTTGCAAATAAAAACAATTTTAGATCTTTGGTGGGGGGGGGTAGAAGAGGGGGCGCAGGGGAGAGCAACTGATTTAAGAATCAACATGTTAGTTTACCTTATTCTATCGTTTCTAAGAATATGAGTCTTTGAATATTAGGTCTGATCAAGGTTTACTGCACAGAACCTCTTATCTCAGGTCAATGATCTAGGCTAAACCTGACATTTTATAATTCACCTGTGATGAAGACATAATAATAAACTGAATTTTCTGTATTAAGATCATCATACCAATATACTCGGTGCAAAAAAACTTTTTATGGCCTAAGGGTGGGTTACCCAAGTAAGAAATGCATGTGTTTTTAATCACACAAGCATGGAAGACCCTAACAGACGAAGGTAGAAATGGTCAAGTGAAGAAGAGACTTTTTATGTTAATTTTACCTGGATGACCCCGGACAAGAAGATAGTCCTTAATTTAATCTCTTAATTTGTAAAAGGGAAGGAAGAATACCTCTTATAGGGCTGCATGGGAACTCGATCAAACAGTGTAGTAAAGCACCTCATATAATTAGTAGTTAATGTTAGCTCCCATCTTCTTTTTACTAAATGATACTTGGCTCCAGGGTGAGCTGAATGATTTCATAGGATGATTTAGAGATTCAGATGATTGCACTCTATCTTTATAATTACTCTTATCTGCTTAACCAAAAAATAGGCAATATGGCACTTTGTGGTTGTGTTTTTAGGCACAGTCTCACTTGATTCCTACAAGCCCGGGCTCTTTCCTTATCTGTGCTTTCAGTTCCTGTAGTGAAGCTCAGTGCCAAAATGCTAGACAAGGACTTAGGGTGATAAAATCCTGCTAAGCCTCACTCGTCATCCAAATAACTTCTACTGCAGTTTATTAGCATAATTCTAGTTCATTATGAGTTATTGTTCATCCCTCCTGTGCCTAACTCATCAATTACACTTCATCATAGGCATATATGCATTAGGGGGCTTTAAAAAAGCTTGTAAGAAAATTCCACTTTTAATTTTTTTCCCCACGAGCTTTTTGAAGCTCTCTCACATTGGATAAACCAGACCAACTCACTGCCATTGAGTTGATTCTGACTTACAGCGACCCTATAGGACAGGGTAGAACTGCTCTTATGGGTTTCCAAGACTGAAACTTTTTTTTGTTTTGTTTTATGGGAGAAGAAAGCCTATCTCTTTCACATATAGGGTTTGGTGACTTCAGGCATCATGGAGTGGGGATGGTATCTTGGGATGTATGCTCCACAGATAGGGTGGGTTTGGGGAGGATACGGAAATATCCACTCTTACAGAGAGAAAAATAGAAGTTGAGAGGTGAGAAGATCTACCCAAAGCTCTACACCAAATAGAGACAGATCTTCTGGCTCCAAACCCAATTCTTTCCTCTACGATGTGATTATTTTCTTTTCTAACGTTTTACCCGATTTTGTTCAGCAGCCCAAAGCAGCAGTGCACTTGGATCGTTCTCCATGCTTTTTTCTTGCAATTGATACCACTCTTCTGTTTTTTCATCTTGCTCCTCGTCCTCTTCAGAACTGTCTCCCCAGAGACTTTGGGTCCCAGTAGGAATCAGGTGTCTGTGTGTTTCCAACAATTCAAGTTGATTAAACTGTTCAGAGAAGTCCAGGGAATTCTCTGGGTCTGGGTTTTCATCATTATTTACTTGGTCTTTCTCCATTTTTACTGTTATCCTAAATAGAAAGCATTTCTTCTAAGAATACATTACGCAAATTTATTTTATTCATCCAGATCTGAAAACATAAACACAAAAACTATTAACAAAACAGTAATCAAGGCTTTATAAATAACACAGGGAACAACCTTTTCTCCTGTGGAACAGTTGGTAGGTTGGAACTGCTGACCTTGTGGTTCCAGAGTAACCTGTAACCTACTTCATCTCACCATGGCTCTTTCAAAAGCCAAACCTACTGCCACTAAGTTGATTGTGACCCATAGCAACCCTATATAGGGTTTCGGAGACTGTAAAACACCTTTATAGAAGCATAAAGTCTCATCTTTTTCCCTTTGAGTGGCTGGTAGGTTGGAACCATCCACCTTGCAGTTAGCAGAGTGTTGTTTCCTCCGCAGCAGCACACAGGAAGGTCTGATTAACCTAGTTCCTTGGCTTCTCAAAAGACTCCCTATTCTCCTTGGCTGCCTTAGTAATTTATAAGCCAATATCAGCTCAGAAAGTTACAAAGCATATTAAAATTTAACCAACTAAAGAAAATAACTAAGAGATATTAAAAAAATCTGTTTCTTCAAATTCCCAACTCTGTTTTTAATCCATCATATGTTTTTTAAACCAAAACTTTTTATACATTCTGAAATGTGCAGCTCTAGATAAAACAATGTTCATAATTTCCTCAGTTGATTTCATTCCCAAAGTTAAACTGAGGTGCATCTCACGTTTTCAGGGTTTTAAAGAAACCTACCAAGACTAATCTGATATTACACCATCAAGAACACACAGGGCATATTTCTTAATTTAAAGGGCACACTTTGTTTTGAGGTCTAAACTGTTGTGTCTGCTCCTTACAACTGGGTGGGACATACACCTCATTTTACAGATGAAGGCGCTGCGGTTCATGTAGATTAAGACAAATTGCCCTATATCAAGAACCCTTTAATGGAACTGAAGTCACATCTTCTCATTCAAACAATGCACACACACGTTTTTTTACATGACCTCTTTACGGTGTTGAAAATCAATGAGGTTATTTTGAGACTTCTGTGTGCCTGACCCAAGCAACAGTATTTTCAGTTCCCTGATAAGATGTGGAAGTTGGAAGTTAAAAGGAAGACCGAATTAGAACTGATGCATTTGAATCATGGTGCTGGCAAAGAATATTCAAAGTACACGGACTGACAATAGAGCAAATCTGTCCCAGGAGAACTACAGCCAGAATGGTCCTTAGAAGCAAGGATGGTGAGACGGCTTCTTACATACTTTGGACCTGTTGTCAAGACACACTGGTCCCTGGGTAAGGACATCATGCTTAGTAGAGGGACAGTGACAAAGAGGAAGGCGCCCTACAAGACGGATTAACATAATGACTGCAAAATGGGCTCAAACACGAAAAAGTGTGAGGATGGTGCAGGACCGGGCAGTGCGTCGTTCCGCAGCCAATCTCTGAGTCTTAATCGACTCGATGGCACCTAACAACAACATGTTTTTCTGCTCTCAGCATAGAATAGGGATATGCGGCGCCCATGGATCCAGTGACCTGCAATGAGGGAAAACCCCAAACCGAACTCACTGCCACCGAGTGAATTCCCACTCAGAGCGATCCTATAGGGCAGGGTCGATTTGCCCTTATGAGTTTCTGAGATGGAAACGACAGGAGTAGAAAGCCTCGTTTTGCTCCCGCAGAGAGGCTGGTGGTTTTACACAGCTGACCTTGTAGTTGGCAGCCCAATGCGTAACCACTAAGCCACCAGGGCTCCCACTATGCCAGGGAAGGGGGACATACAGGCCTGTAAAGCAGAGGGTATGAAAGCTCTACCACTGGCGAGGGGGAGTGAGGAAGAGAAGTCGGCCATCAGCCCCGGGCGCTCCAGGACCGGCTGGTGTCTCTTCCCGGCCTGTGCAGTCTCCGAGACGGCAAAGAGCAGAGGAGAGGCTGTCTGGCCCTACCTGGGACCACGCTGCTGCCTGGCCAGCAAGGCTCGGTTAGGACCGGCCAGTGAGCCTTCTCTGGGGTCCCAGTTCGGCACGAGAGGACCAAAAATGGGGGCGAAAGACTGGAAAGTAGACCCACCTCACCGATGAGAAATCGCCGCCGCGAATCTCGCTTCCGGGATGCGTCCTGACGCCTGCTCAGGATTGGCTCTGCTACGGAGGCGTGGCCTCGTTGCTCATTTCCCCGCCCCCTTTGGACTCGGCAGCCTATGAGAGTCTAAGAAGACGTGATAGTCTTACGTAATTAGGAAGGTCTCGCGAGAAAAAGAGTTGCGTTTCTCTCGCGCCTAATTCAGGTGTCTCGCCGGTCAGATGCAGTCTGGCGGAGCCGCGTTTCCTCTCAGGAGTTTGACGTCCTTTTTCCCGGTAAAGAAAGGACTGCCTGGTGTCCTGAGTGGGATAAATATGGATTCTTAACCACCTCATCTTTTGCAAGCCTTCCGGGCTAGATCCCAGAGGGCACCAGACTTTGGGGGGCTGGGGTAGGGGGAGGGCAGGGTCTGGCCGGGTTTGCTGGGGTCCTGGAGGCTCCGCAATTCTGACCCCTCGAAACGGAGGCTCGCGGTGGGGGCACCTTGAGGCTTGGGGTCTCGAAGGACGCGGAGACGAGAGATGTGGAGGCGTTGTTTCGCGGCGGCTGCCGCTTCTCAAACATTTTGAACATTTTTCGTTTTCCTGCTGGAGTCTTGCAGTCCGCGTTGCAAGCAGCTGTTTGTTTATCTGTATACCTGGATGTTCCTGTACGGACCACGTGTTGAATTCTGCCGCTTGTTGACACTAACTTTAAACCTGGACCCTTCTCTTTCCTCCGAACCACCTCATGACTTAAAAAAATGTCGAGTAAGAAGGAGGCGTCTGCATTCATGCCAGAGTAGCTTATGCACACAATTTAAGATTTTATGTGCTTCCAGAGCTGTGAGTGTGCTAAATCAGAAGCACTGTATGCGACCCTGTGCCCATTCATTTAACACACATTTAAAAAGGATAGTTTGCCATAAGGGCCAGGAAAATATTAGGTGAGTTTATTCATAATAGTGAGTCGAATGGCACTGGAGATGATGATATGGTCTATTCTTGGTTCTTAACAATAAAAGCACAGGCGAGGAAATGAAATTCTATTCTAGAATTATCAGTCCGCCTATTAAGAACTCTTTTCCCTGCAAAACTTAAACCATGTCGGTTAAATATGTGCAACCTTTTGCTTCTGATAGAGTTGCTAATGTTCTGAGTGTAATAATTCCATTTTTGAAATTGTCTAAGCTAAAGTAAGTTTTCTGATATTTTATCACAGGACCCACAGGTGCTAGGAGAAGGAACCTGGTGTGTGAGGAACTGGGTTGAACATAAAAATGAGTCCTGCAGATGCACTGTAAGCATTTTTGCCTTCTAGAATCATTGTTGCTTTAGGTTTCTGAACCGTTAGCTATTACATCTTGAGAAAACTTTAATAAAATTACCCATCCAATATAAAAACTTGCCCATGAACCAAGGTGTCAGTTGGTGAAAAAAAATACTTAATGTGTGAAAATTCGTATCCTATGTTTTAAAGGCGTTAGACAGTTACCAGTTGAAGGTTCTGCGGTACTTTGATAAGTGCTATCGGGTAAAAAGGAGTCCATGGCACAGTATAGTGGATTAGGGAGTTTGGCAGTCCAAACCCAGCAGCTTCTCAGGGGGAACGATGAGGCTCTCTGTTCCAGTCAACATTTAGTTTTGGAAACCCTGTCCTTTATGGTCTCTTCGAATTGGAATGGACTCAATAGTAGTGGGTTAGGTAGGGGTAGTGTGTACGTTTATTTTGTTAAGTTTTATTTTTAAAATTGAAACCATAAATATGGAACTTTTCATTATGAAGTCTGATTAATCGTGGCATTCTACTTAAGCAAGAGTTTTTGAGGAATAAATTGCTCCAGTATTGAATCAACTGAAGGTGTATTTGTGTATGATGGAAATGAAATGGCTGCCCTTTTTTGGGAAAAGTTTTAGACTTGGATTCATCTGCCCTGATTCCAATACCTTGGTCAGTGCAAGGCATATGACCTTGGCCCCACTGGCAGTTCCCTGAGCCTTATCTCAATGTTTTCATTTGTATAATGGAATAATAATGTCTCTCTCACTTCAGTATTTTGAGGTTTAAGTAACAGAAATCATGTGAAAGTACTTGGAATTTTGGAAGCATGGGTGGTAACATAATCTGCAATGGATCCCGGCCTTCCCGTGTATACAACAATTCTGACTCCGGATAAAATTTTTGAAATTTTTAGAGTTTCTGAAGAGAACTCTTTACTGCAAAGGTCTTTTTTAATGTAAAAGATCTGAATTCGGAATATGAAAACCTTTCACACTTTATTGTGGTTCAGTGACAGTTGGCTATATTTTAATTCTGGGTTTTATGTAGCCTTGTACTTATCACTAGTTGCACGATAACTCAGTTCATGTCTGTCTTGGGCCCTGGTGGCACAGTGGGTTAAGCTTTGAGCTGCTGACTGCAAGGTCTGGGGTTCTAACCCACTAGCTGCTCCAAGGTAGAAAAAAGTGACAGCCTGCTTCTGGGAAAAGTCACAGCCATGGAAACCCTAAGGGTAGTTCTGCTCTGCCCTGTGGGGTGGACTTGAGTTGAATTAACTTGACAGTGGGTGTGGATTCGTCTTATTTTTTCAGATTATACATTTCTCTGTACATGTGGGAGTTGAGATAAGATCATAGACTCAAACACATTATAAAGAATTAAATGTTACTTTAAGCTTAATTTTTTATTTATGCATCTCACAAAAAGTATCTTTGAATATGAAGAACCCATTGCTGTCCAATCTAGGCTCACTCAAAGTGACACTGTAGGACAGGGTAGAACTGCCCCATAGGGGTTCCAAGGCTGTACATCTTCAGGGAAGCAGATTGCCACATCGTTCTCCTGGGGAGCAGGCAGCTGGCGGGTTCCACCAGCCAATGTTTCAGTTACTGAAACACCAGCAGGCCTCTTGATTCAAATTGGATGGTAAGCAATTGTTACATGGCTAAATTTATTAATGAAAAATTATGTTTGTCTAGACAGGCGATTTAAAGTAAATGTCTCCGAGGGCCTGAGTGCAGGTTACTAGCGTATTAGTATAACATCTACTCATAAAGTTAGAAAAAGGGCTTTTAAATTGACTATGTTGAGTTTACTGGGAAAGGGAAAAGCTAGAAATAGTTGTGAGAGGGAGAAGGCCCAGTTGTTTCGTAGAACAGAACAAGAAACAAGAAACCCGTCAGGTCCAGGTTGCATTGTTACTTTTAGTTGCCACCTGCCCAGTTCTGACTCTTGTCCATAATGGAAGTATAAAACGGGTTATAGCAAGATTGCACAATTTTGAAGCAGTTATAAATTAAGATACTATTAATGGGTTTGGACGCTTCATTGTTGAGTTAGACTCACTGCCATTGAGTTGATGCCAACTCCTGGCTTCCCTGTAGGACTGGGTAGAATTGCTCCTGTGAATTACTGAGCCTATCAGTCTTTACCGAAATAGCCTGTTCTTTCTCCCTCAGAGCGGTTGGTGGTTTCAAACTGAGGAACTTGCGGTTAGCCAGCCAATGAGTAACTAAGTGATAGGCAAATTATGTACTTAAAGACCTGTTGGACGCTGTAAATTTTCAGATCAACTTTACAAGCTATAAAAATGGTTTTACTCTGTAACTACTATGACTTTACCTTGGCAATGTAGGTCTCAATTTGCTGGGGCATCCTTTTTTTTAATCGTTTTATTAGGGCTCATACGACTCTTATCACAATTCATACATACATCAATTGTGTAAAACACATTTGTACATTCATTGCCCTCGTCACTCTCAAAACATTTGCTCTCCACTTAAGCCCCCGGCATCAGGTCCTCATTTTTCCCCCTCCCTCCCCGCTCCCTCCTCCCTCATGAGCCCTTGATAATTTATAAATTATTATTTTGTCACATCTTGCCCTATCTGACATCTCCCTTCACCCACTTTTCGGTTGTCCGTCCCCCAGGAAGGAGGTCATATATAGATCCTTGTAATCGGTTCCCTCTTTCCAACCCACTCTCCCTCTACCCTCCCAGTATCGCCACTCACACCACTGGTCCTGAAGGGATCATCCGCCCTGGATTCCCTGTGTTTCCAGTTTCTATCTGTACCAGTGTACATCCTCTGGTCTAGCCAGACTTGCAAGGTAGAATTCGGATCATGATAGGTGGGGGGAGGGGGTGTCATTTAGGAACTAGAGGAAAGTTGTATTTTTCATCGTTGCTACATCGCACCCTGACTGACCCCTCTGCAAGGGGATCTCCAGTGGCCTACAAATGGGCTTTGGGTCTCTATTCTGCACTCTCCCCATCATTCACTATGGTAAGATTTTCTGTTCTGATGATGCCTTATACCTGATCCCTTCGACACCTCATGATCGCACAGGCTAGTGTGCTTCTTCCATGTGGGCTTTGTTGCTTCTGAGCTAGATGGCCGCTTGTTTACCTTCAAGCCTTTAGGACCCCAGATGCTATCTATACCTTTTGATAGCTGGGCACCATCAGCTTTCTTCGCTACATTTGCTTATGCACCCATTTGTCTCCAATTGTATCATGGAGGTGAGCACACAATGATATGATTTTTGTTCTTTGACGCCAGATAATGATCCCTACGGCACCTCGTGGTCACACAGGCTGATGTGTTCTGCCATGTGGGCTTTGTTGCTTCTGAGCTAGATGGCCGCTTGTTTACCTACAAGCTTTTAAGACCCCAGACGCTATATCCTTTGATAGCTGGGCACCATCAGCTTTCTTCACCACTTTTGCTTATTCACCCACTTTGTCTTGAGTGGTTGTGTCGGGAAGGTGAGCATCATAGAATGCCAATTTAATAGAACAAAGTATTCTTTTCATTGAGGGAGTACTTGAGTGGAGGCCCAATGTCCTTCTGCTACCTTAATACTAAACCTATAAATATATGCACATAGATCTATTTCCCCATCCTCTTATATAAATATGTTTGCATATGTACATGTCTTTATCTAGACCTCTATAAATGCCCTTTGCCTCCCTGGGGCATCCTTTCAATGAATCATTTTGAAACACTTTTTTTTTAATACAGAGATGATGAAAATACATTTAAAATCTTGGTTGCAACGGATATTCATCTTGGATATATGGAGAAAGATGCAGTCAGAGCAAATGATACATTTGTAACGCTCGATGAAATTTTAAGACTTGCCCAGGAAAATGAGGTGAGTTAGTTTACATTTTTGTAGTTTCTATTTTATTCCCCTATTCATCAGCTTCCCTTCTTAAAGTTACATGTTTGTTTAAGTTTTCTTTAAAAAAAAATTTTTTTACAGGTTTGTTTTATAGTCTCGTGTGCTCACGTTTCCTGTTTAAATATCAATATGTTAGATGCCTAAAGTAGATTTTATGTGCTTTTGTGCCCTTTAATTCAAGCAGGTTGTTGGTTTGTAAAGCCTGTTAAAATTTACAACTACAAGGGCTGAGTCAAGAAATCATTGCTCTGATGAACACCTGTGTCACACACACACACACACACACACACACACACACATCAAACGGGAAGCCGGTGTTCCTCGCCGTGCCCTCCATCCAGGTTTTCACATTTCTGAAGATGGTGTTTCCATCTCTACTTCTTCCCCAAAAGAGGACTTGGGTTTATGCCATGTTGAAACAGCAGTTTGGGCATCCGTGAAGAACTCAAGCTGTGCCTTTTCAAGGTTCCTTGAGTTTGGGGAACAAAGAGAAGCCTGAAGGGATGAGATCAAGGCTGTGGGTGCATGGGGTGACGTTTCCCAATAAATCCTCAGAGGACAGCCCCTGCTACCCCTAAAGAACAAGCAGGTGCATTGTCGCGATGGAAGCACAACCTTCCTGGCTTTTTATTCACCAAGGCAGTTTTCCGTGTTCTTAACATTTCTCCACAATAAGCTCCCAGGATACTCCTGTGCCCTTCAAGAAAATCTGTCAAGGTCCCCACTATATAACCCCCCCAGATAATTGCCATAATCTTTTAACCGATCTCTCTCTGCCTTGAATTTAACCAGCCTGGCAGATCCCCTCAGGAGCCACTGTTGATTGGACTTCTTTTTTTTGGGAAGGTACACTAATGAGACTAAGAGAAGGGTATTACTCAACTTGTCTTTAGCCATCCACTGATCGCAGAGACATGTGTCGCCACATTTTGTTTGGGATAAACCCATACATGTACGAACTGGAACCCCCGGTAACGATCCTTTTTGACTGGACCTTGGTTTTACGAACTGTTTATTGTGATCCTGTGGTATTTTTATTAACGTTGTAAAGACGTTATATAAGCTCAGAGCTTATATAGCAAGTTAGTATGGGTGATCTGACAATATCTAGACATCTGCAATGCAAGATCATAGGTGATTAATTGTAAACATTATTTTGAGGGGCCTTGGTGGTAGAAGAAACATAGTGGAAATGTGTTGGGCTGCTAACCACAAGGTCAGCAGTTTAAAATAACTAGCTGCTCCATGAGAGAAAGACAAAGCCTTCTCTTCCCGTAAAGAGTTACAGTCTTAGAAACTCACTAGAGCAGGTCTACTCTGTTCAGCAGGGTCTTTATGAGTCGGAATCAGCTCAGTGGCTATGAGTTTGGTGTTCTCTCGTGAGAAGTGCGAGAGATCAAATGTAGAAGAGAATCAGAAGAGAACTCGAGTCCCAGTGATTTGGTGCTCTGAAGAATTATTTTAGAGACTATTCCTCGACTAGATTAAAGTGCCAAGTTTATGTTTGAGTTGAAGAATAAAAAAGAAATGTGATCCCTTTGGCTAGTCCCCTTGCGTTAGGGGCCTGGGTTGTGATTTGAAAGTGGCTTTTTTTTAAGTGGACTTTCTGGGTGGTGCTCACAGTTGACATGCTTGCCAATAACCAAAAGACTGGAGGTTCACCCCCACCCAAAGATCCCTTGAAAGAAAGCCTGGGATCTACTTGTGAAAATTCAATAATTGGAAAGCCCGTGGAACACAGTTCTGTGGTGTGTGTGGGGTACCATGAGCAGGATCAATTCCGTGGCAACTGGCTTTGTTTTTTAAGGTTTCTTAGGCACTGAATTTGGAGTCAGATTAAGCACTACCCCAGAACGTGCTTTGAATAAAAAATAAAATGGAAACATTTAAGTCCCCATAAATGACTTGTGCATCTTTTTTTTTTCTTTCGGTACATGTTTTTAAAATTTTTACCTATGAAACACACTAATTTTTACACTGTTTTCTGTTGGCTAGGTGGATTTTATTTTGTTCGGTGGTGATCTTTTTCATGAAAATAAGCCATCAAGAAAAACATTACATACCTGCCTGGAGTTACTAAGAAAATACTGCATGGGTGATCGCCCTGTGCAGTTTGAAATTCTCAGTGATCAGTCTGTCAATTTTGGTTTTAGTAAGTAAGTATGTTTATATGCTTTTGTGAATTTTTTGTGTATTAGTTTGCCTTTCCTAGTTAATCTTGGGTGTATCTCATTTTTATTGGCTATTTTGGTATCTTCTACTGGTATCCTTTACTAACTAAAAAAATTGGTTTGTTTATTTATTTATTTACCTTGGCGGCATAGTGGGCTATGAACTGGGCTACTTAACTGTAAAGTTCGAATCCACCAGTCGCTTACCAGGAGATAGATGAGGTTTTCTACTCCCATGAAGAGTTACAATCTCAGAAATACGCAGCAGCAGTTCTGCTCTGCCCTTTAGGGTCCCTGTAAGTCAGAATTGATGGTAGTGAGTATCTAATGTATGAACGTTTACTTATTCTCTATCTGTAAAGATGAACAGCCTTGGAAGCCCCATGGGTAGTCGCACTGCTCCGGTACGGTCCGTATGAGTCAGAATTTGCTCTACAGGGATGGAGTTAAAGATTAATCAGGCCTATGTTTCTCCCAGCCCCCAAAACATATTTCGCCTTTGACTTTGTGATGGGGTCTCTTATTGACAGATGTTTTGTCAGATTGTGGTCAGACAATTTGTAGGGTGTCCCGCAGTATCCATTTTTCTGATGTCTTCTCATCATGGTTGCACTGGGATTGTGGGTTTAAAGAGGAGGTGAAGTGCCATCCTCATAGCATCCTCATGTATAACATTGTGGCTCATCACCAGCCATGTCCACGTGACCTAGTTAAGATGGGGTCTGCCACGAGCCTCCACTGGAAGCTTCCTATTTTTCCCTCGCCGTATGTGTGGGCTTGTGCTCCCAATGATCGGCAGTTCAAAATCACCAGCAGCTCTGAAGGAGAAAAACTGGACTTTGTACTTCCACAGCGTCAGCAATTTGAAACCATCAGGCACTCTGTGGGAGAAAGATGGGGCTCTCTACTCTTGTAGAGTTATAGTCTCAGAAACTCAGAGGACCAGTTCGACCCTGTCCTATAGGATTACTATGAATCAGACTCGATGGCAGTGAGTTTTTTTTTAAATGAATGTGTGGGATAATGATAGATGGATAAAACTCCCCTGCCCCAGGGGAATGAACAACAGAAATGTGGGTGAAGGGAGACTGCAGTCAGTATAAGATATGAAAATAATAATAATTCATAATTTATCAAGGCTTCACAAGGGTGGGAGGGTGGGGAGGGAAAAATGAGCTGATACCAAGGGCTCAAGTAGAAAGAAAATGTTTTTAAAATGATGATCGCAACAGATGTACAAATGCGCTTGATACAATTGATGTGTGGATTGTTATGAGTTGTAGGAGCCCCCAATAAAATGATTTAGTAAAAGAATGAATACCGAACTAGTCTCAAATGCTGGAGATGAAAAGTCCCCAAAGTCCAACTCTTGTGTGAGGCTCATCTTGCTCCATTCCTCCCACCACCGCCTCCCTTTGAGTGCAGTTCAGTTACAGATCTGAAGAGGAGGCCAGGGTCAGCGAGATGCTGGGGCCAGGGGAAGCTCTTCACTCCTGGCTCTTGCTGGTGAGGGGCTCACACATCCAGTTTCTCAGGGACTCGTTTTATATGCAGCAGGATGGCATTGCAGGGAATCCTGGTCGCAGTTACTCCCAGGTGAATCTTGTCACTACCTTCCCTCACCTTCTTACCAGACCGATGTAGGAAAGGGTCATTAGGTGGAAGTGACATGGTATAATTAAGTTTCATCCAAATGTAATAATCTATTCTCCACCCTTGACTATCATATTTTTGCACATAAGACTTGAGGCCTCTTGTAAGATGTTCCCAGGAGCCGTTGACCTCCTAATCTTATTAATCAGCCTGGCTTTTCCCTAGGCCTCTAGAAGCAGTTTCCTTTCGCCTCTAAACTGTAGCATATCATTCCTTATATCCTTTGTAAGTAATAGTAACTAGGGTAACCCTTAAAGAGGGTGTGGTCCTATCACACTGTCTACTAAAACCAATTCAATCTCATTCCATTCCTGTTAGCAGATAATGGGACCACAAGCATATGAAATTCAGAATTATTATGTGTCATATAAGGGATTATGGCTGGAAGGGCCATATTAATCAAGTGTAACTCAGTATAATATGAAGGAGCCCTGGTGACATAGTGGGTTGTGCTTTGGGCAGCTAACCACAAGGTCAGTAGTTTGAAATCACTAGCTGCTCCATGGGAGAAAGACAAGACTTTCTACTCCCGTAGAGAGTTGCAGACTAGGAAACCCACAGGGACACTTCTTCCCTGTCTGATAGGGTCACTGCGAGTTGGAAACGACTCAGTGGCAGTGAGTATTTTTGTGTGGGGGGGGTATACGTGTAATATAAATTTGGAAAGATAATCTAGATTTCTGGGGTCATGAATGGCTAGAAGAGTTTGTATATGTACTTTTTTGCACTATGAATAGTTGGAAATACGTTATTTAATCTGAAAATGTATATGAGTAAAATAAACTGATCGGAGAAGAGAGTAAGATATTTCTCTGGCTACTTGTGAGATATTTTTATAATCCTTTGATACAGAATTATGTGAGGATTCTGATTTGTCAGGTGATCTAGTTCTCTGATGTGCTGTAAAATTTAATCCAGCCGCTCAGGTAGTACTGGAATTTTTAACCCAAGTTGTTTGAATTGTAACGTATGTCACTTCCTGCCCCCATCCTACCAATAAGGTTACCTAAGGCTTTTAAAAATGGAAGGTTTACGATCTTTCCATCAGTCAGCTGTACTGCTCTTAGAGTGTGCAAGTGTCATTGTTGCCAGGGATCTTCGTTATAATACGGTGTGCGCAAGTATTTCCCGCCTTGGGTTGAAATGCATGGTTGCCTGTGGTTTCATTTATTTATTTGCCGTTTTATTTCTTGGTGACTGTGCTGTCACAGCCAAACCTCTACCCCTCCAGTCATCGCTACGC